CCATAGTCCGATACAGCAGAGACTCCTCTGCTAGGCATGCAGGATGAAATGAAGTAAATTAGAACTCTGCCTTTGTGTTCATTAGAGACAAAATTCACCTTCATGTTTTTCTGCAGCTTCAGCCTTGTGTGGACTCTTTGCTACAAGAGGATTTCAGTTCTAGTGAATGAAGTCCTAACTGAGCTTACACCGGGCTTTACCAGGTCTTCTGCAACCCTCTTAGTGACAGATTTAACCCTTGAGCGACACAGAGGTTTAAAGCTATGTCACATCCTCTGAACTACACCGTGATGTAGATGGCACACATGAGATGGGCAGTATCTCCGTCTGGACTACCCAGATATCAAGAAGTTGGATCCTTACAACTAAGCTCCAGGTTCTGCAATAAGAAGGAAGCAAAATAAAGGCACTGTCTCATCAGTGTAATTCAAAGGAGCAGCTGCCTTTGAGGTGAAATAGTTTGTACAACTAGAACAAAATTTGCAGCCCAACAAGATATTTGGATTTTTTCAGCTAATCACAAACTGTAGTTTCAATCCTATGCTTTGATATTCCAGAGTTTTTGAAGATTCAGTTGTCTGAGTTATGTGAATTCAAGCATATTTCTGAGCTGTCAAAGAATCCCAAATCAGAGATTCTGAGATTATAAAGCCTGAACCCACTGTCTTTGCTAAACTATTTTCACTGTCTCCTCAGCTCTGGCTGGAGAAAGAGTGACAACTGCAAAGGAAATGGTATCACAGCCCCAAAATTTCAATGTTTCTTCTTTACAAATGATAATTCAAGATGTTTTGACAAAACCAAAATATATCTCTTAATAATAGCTCTGCCATTCAATGTTCTGTTCTCAGTTCTCACATTGAACCATCATTTGAGTACCTAAATATCCTCCAAGGATGCCATCAAATGCACAGCTGGCAGCTGGCATATAGGGTTTCTTTTGTGTTCCTCCTCCTAACAGAAATATCCATAGATTGTAAGTTTTGAAAGAGGAGACATATTCATTTCTCCATGAGATGTCATGTGCTTTTATTAACAAAGGCTTAAGAAACGCTACTCACCATAGAGGAATTTTGATGAGCAGAAAATCAGTTCCCTAAGTAGAATTTGGCCAAGACCGAATACAGTGTCCTACAGTTTCTAGATCTGTGTGTCCTTGGGAAAACAAAAGACAAGAGTCTGCAAATCTAAGACAAGGGCATGGCCCTAGCTCTTCAGTTTGATGGGTACAGGCCCACATGGCATAAATGAATGTGTATCTATTGCAGAAGCTCCAGCCCATGCTCCTGAAACATTAGTCAGTTGATCAGTAAGCTTTTGAGATTAGAAGATGCAGAGGAAGAAAAATATTAAGAAACCACCATACCTCCCACACATTCAGAGGATGAATCATTAAGAGGCCAATTCTGCAAAGTGCTCCACACTTCTCTGCAGCTCTGCACAGGGAAAATTAAGCAATGACGTAAACCAAGAAAAAGTACCCTTTGCAACTGTCCTACCACCAACTGCTAGGAGCTATTCATTAAAGATCACCTCTTTCTTTCCTCAGCCCCCACATGGGGGTTCAGATGTCAGTAGCTGAACAAGTGATGTTCAAATTTAGCCCTGTCCACCTTTTCGATGATTCTTCCCAGCAGTTGAAGGATAGAAGTGGAAAGACAACTGGGGAGATCACTGGCATCTCTTGTTGGCTTTTCAAGCACTAGCTGAACTACAATGTATCCTAGGATGACTGGTGGTTTTTCTGCTTTGGGAAAGGCAGTCGTGATCAGGTCAGGCATGGGCCTAATTGCTTTGTACTAAACAAACTTGTGCTGTGCCAACCATTTAGACCATTTGTAGAACACGTGATGTGGGAACTCCACCCTTATGCTATGTGAAGCAGGTGGAAAGCAAACCTGCATGTTCATTACTCACTGCTATTTGAGTTCTCATCAGCTTGGCATGCAAGAACAAGACTGCAGATGTAATCTACAGACATTCATTCAAACTGAGATATCTTAACACCACCTCTTAATCTTCAAGCTTATTTCATCTTGGTTCAAGGTTGAAGGGGTCAAGCATGAGATGTATATTTGTCTTCAGGAGCTGGAAGCCTGAAATCGTTGATAACCCAAGTAGCAGAGTTCTAGAGAACAGCAGTAAACAATGTCACAAATACTTTGAAGAGGACAAGCAAGGAATATTTTTAAGTACTTCTTTTTACAGGCCTCCCACCAAACAAACTACCATTATTTTAAAGCCAGAGCTGCAGGTTTCTGGAAATCATAGTCAACAGTTGTTCATTGGTCTTAATAGACATCGGTGTAATGGGCAGTAATTTCATGGTTCACAGTGTTTCACATCTTCATGTCCAAATCTTCTGTTTTGCTTTTCTCTTTTAATTTTAAAAGTGGCCATTAATCTAAAGGAATACATTAATGTGGTGTGGGTTGGGGTTTTTTTTGTTTATTTGTTTGCTTAAAGTGTATGGCATATCATGTCCTATTAAAAAAAGTTTGACTAAAGAATTATGCAAAAGGCTTTAATAATTTAAATACTTGTTCAGCCATATGGAAATGTACAATCTGTTTTATGTTCTGTGGGAAACCTACAGTTGCTATAAACAATGAATTTTAAAACCTCCCATCCGTTATTTAATACAACAATTTGCTAAAGTAATAACAACACTCATTCTGTTACAATTTGCCATACTGGAGATGCTTAGAGGTGAGTCAGAGATACAAAACTCTCATAGTGATCAAAAATCCTCTACAGTTCAGGAGGATGCAGCACTGGAGTTTAGTCCCGCTATCTCTGAAAATACTATCACTTCATCCTTATGTGAGGAAACGTCTTATAATATTACACAGAACGGAAGACGTAACATAATAGTTTGGTTCATTAGTATTTTTTCCCATGTAATGCTTTATAAAAGAGATAAAGCTGAAGAAAATAAAAACAGACATGTAAATATTACGATGAAGTACATTGTTCTTATTTAAATAAATTTCCTTGAGCAACGTCTTCTTAAAACGCAAAAATTAACCACTAACATTTGTCTCACTGTATAAAAGTGATGGTAGTAATTATAAAGAACCCAATGGTCTTATGCTTATTTCTTCCTATTCTTAAGTTTTCACAGCAAAAATATTAAAATTTGCAATATTACCAAAAAGCTGCAAACCTGTCAAATATATTACTCTGAAGTAAATTAACAATAAATTTATAGGAACCTACCATAGGAACTATTAAGTGGACAGTAGTAATGGTTTTCTATATAAAATCTATCAAAAATTGTTGGAGAAAATATGTGAAGCGTAGCTGATAGCTGATGAAATCTGCAATATGGCCACAGAGAAATAAGTTGCAGATCATCAAAGTTAGCTCTTGTGCAGAAACATCCACCATGAGTTCATTAATTTCACTTTTCACTGGAGAACAGCAGGAGGTTTCCATAATGCAGCCATCATAGGAAACTGATTCAATGCTGTACTTCAAGCTTTACCCGTAGTTGGAACTTGCAACAGTTAGATTTTTTGGTGCTCTGATCACTCTTGCTCTCCGGAAGGCTACTTAAATATGAAAATCTTCAGCAGAAAGACAATCTCTCTAAAGCACTGACACGTGGTCTTAGAAGAAGGCTGTTCAAAAAAAGAAAGGAAAAAACAGACTTAGCTGGGCTGGTAAAGCAACACTGGTAAGGCAATACAGTAACACTCTATACATAAACCAGCAAGCTACGTCGTCATTAGAAGCCGAGAGATTTGTGGTCTATGCCCTCCAGACACACAAGCCCATAAATGCGTGGAGCTCAGAGGACTCTCTGCAGATTTAAAAGTGCTCATCTAAGTGTTTTTTAGCCTGAGTCAGCAGTCAAGCCCTGATCTTGCACCAATGAAGGCAAAGTGCACTTTCAACTATTTTGAATATCAAAAATGTCAAGGGGTTGATTCTACCCAACTTCAGGCATTTAACTAAAGCAGCTAGACAAGGACCTAATTAACCCAGGCTCTGGTCATCAACCACAGATGGAAAGCTGCAACCTCAAGAAGGTGCTTCAGTCTTGCCCAGGTCAAGGGTGATGGTGTTCCTAGCTTAGACATCTCAGCCACGCTACTGAAATTAAGTGTCATGACCAACTGCAGGTCTCCCTGTATATAATCAGTCTATGTGTGTTCTGTTCTACTGGACCTGCATCCAGCATCAGGACCAGCCAGAACTGTTTCTGGCTCTTCACCTAAATCAGGAAAGGGTTCTGCTTCCTGTGTTGGCAGCTTTGCCCACTCCCCACTGGCTAGACACCAAAACTGTTCCCTTTTGAAATTTGTCAGTATTTATTCAGTTCAAATTCTGAACGGAAACTTAGCTTGTTCTATTTTTCTTCAAACATGAACTTGTAAAGGACTTTTTTTTTTTTTTTTTGGTAGTTAGTTGAAACTCTTAGGTTAGGAATAGAGCCTGCAAATTTTCACTGTCCTATTCTGGCTGGTGGAGAACGAAGGCCCACAGATTCTCCCATAGCAAGAGGAAAGCTCCAGTAATTTACTTAGTGGGTGCCTCACTTTGGTCCTCAAGATTCTCCCCAAAATGGAGATGTCTTCTAACTGCAAACTACTTGTTCCTGGGAAAAGCTTTGTCTCTACAGATGCTGGTCCACGCACTGCTGAGACACCTCACCTCTCATGGGAGGTCGTAGTACTGCTGCAGGATTAGCTGTCGTGTGGTTGAGGGTGAATACAAGGACATTTGATTTTTATTCATTCCCAAATGGGGTAATACAGAGTTTCCTTGCTTCTCACTTCTCACCAAGGAGGTGACTTTACCCTCTTTTTAATTTACATCTGCAGCACTGAAAACTGGCCCCTGGTCCAGCCTTTAGAAGAATTAGCTGCAGCAGGAGAAGTAACTGGGCAATTCCCAGACCACCCGAGAGCAGCACAGGGAGTACTGCCATCCTGTTTCTGTTCAACGAATACATGCCAAGCACATAACATTAATTAAGACATACTGTACCTCCAGCTGTTTGGATCTTGATGTGTTTACTTCCTTCTAATCTTAATTAGAAAACAAAAGGTAAAGATGGTTAAAACATTGTAACATATCGCTAATTTAGAACACCATTTAAAAAAACCATGCAACAAAGGTACTATTGTTCCAAAACCAGCCACTATTATTATGGTTAATATGGTTATTTTTCTTCATTTTTTTGTTTTGCAGCAAATTTTGGAAGCACCAGTCAGTGACTGAACTCTGTGGTGTACATGCTGACAGCAGCATTTTGTTGTGTTAAAACTAAACAATTATTACATGATTTCATAAATATACGTTTATGACTTGTTTATTAAGCACCTATAAACCTAATGCTTTTTCCCACTGTTCAAAAACATCACATGGAAAAGAAACAGTTTGCACTGGGTTTTATATAAGAACAGAAATAAACCTGAAAGCAAGCACTTACTAACCATTATTACTGGAATTCACCACAATACAAGTAAACACCTTCAAAACTAAAAATAGTGCTGAGGCTCTGCAAGTGCATCTATCACGTACTCTGACTCCTAACAGGGTTTTGTTTTCTTTGAATTCGCAGAGCACTCAGAGCATGGAGAAGCTGTTCAGAAGACAATGTACCACATTGTCAACATCTGCTCTAGGATCCTTCTGCAAAAGTAAGCATGTTAAAATTTAAATAAATGGGAACAATCATTTTAATGATTACAAATAGCCCCACTGCCTTAAGAGGCTCCAAGGCTAGCCAGTCTGTCTGAAATAATAATTGATTTTTAAAGGAAATACATCCTACTAGATAAAATTAAACTGAGAAAGCAGGAGAAATACAACACGCAACCTTTCATTGTGTATATACCTTTTGGTGCAGCTTTCGTCTGACTGGAAACCATGGCAGCCGCGTCCGATGGCAGGCCAACATACACGCCACCATAGTTCCTGATTTAAAGAAACAATTGAAGGGACATCAGAACTTAATTGTAACACATCTCCCTATAATGTCGACATCACACAGCAGCATTACAAAGACCATGGATGGTCAGAGAGGAGGGCATCTCTGCACGAGCATCCTCAGAGGATCTCTCCTTTCCCACAGCTATGGAAAAAGCGCATATTAAGTGCCACGTACTTGCTAATATGGTGCCAGCAAAAAAACCTTGAGGCTGGCTGTTACTCTTAAGTGGGACCCAAGCCTGTGAAAGGATCTATTTTTCACTCAGTTTCCTAATATTCTTCATTAAATCCCATGTTGTGACAATAAACCCCACTGGCCCAGGTTCTTCTAGACAGTGAATATATCCAACTGAGGACAGAGCCAATCTGATAATAATGTTCGACACTGGGACCACTGAAGCACCTCACTTAAACAATGCACACCAATTAAACAGCACTTTGACCTCTCCTCATTAATAAATAAAACCTGCATCCCCTTGCTTAGGGCCACACTTGGAGAAAACTGTTAGCAGGAAGGAGCATGAGGGTGTTAGGTTCTTTCATAGCCCAACCCTCTCCCCTTCATGGCCTTGCAGAGTGTATTTTCTGGCTCTGAGGCCTGTATGAAAAGCAGGGACTGATGCAAGGAGATGAAAAACTGCGTCCTTAAGAGCCTCTGCTGTGTCTGGAGCTACTTGCAGAGACTCCCATTATGCTGCTCTGCCCTGTTAGGTGCCAAATGAATCATGCCTCCTCCAGCCCCCAGGGCTCTGCGTTGATTTCTGATTTGTTTGATGATAGAGTCACATTTCCTTTGATTTCCAGCCCAGCTGAGATCTCCCACAGGTGCTTAATGCCATCTTCTATGGCAGAGCTGGGGTGAAGGCAGAGGTCTCTGGCCTTTATCAAGCACATTACCTGCAGCTGTGAGATAATGTGCTCTTCTTGCCACAAAGTTCCCTGCTCTTCAACTCACTAATGGGGTGGGGGGATTCATCAATACTGGGCTCTGTGTGAGATTTCCTCCTCTCTTTTTTTTTTTTTTTTTTTTCTCCTCTGCTTTGATGGTGTTGGTGGGAATTAGGAGGAGGAAAGGAAGGATGTACATCTGGCAGCAGAACTCTCTGCAGCCTACTGCAAATAAAGCCAGTCCCAGTAGAGCACCTACCTCCTTTTGTCATCATCTGATACGGATTCTTCTGCTCTGTAACATCAAAAGATACAAAGCACGTTAGCAGGTTGTTTCTTTCAGATACTCCATCACCATCTGGGCAGATTCAGGAGCAAGGGAAGAAGGGGATTAATACTGATGCCAGTTTAATTCAGGTCATCCACAACTCAATAAAGTATTCACACAGGCACAAAAGAGTGACAATTTTCCAATCTAATGTACAGAAGAAAGAAAAGGACTGAGAATAGATGCAGCTTAGCTTTCATGACCCCCACCAGTGTTGCCTGAAAGTAGGTTTGGGAGCTGAAACAGGTAAATTAACCCTTTTCCTGAGTGAGTCCCCACACTGTTCCACACATAACAGGAACATGAAGACTCTGCACATAACAGGAACGAGTCTGGGCTGCTATTCCACCAGAAGAGGACTGGAAGGGACTGGCCATACATACCGGCATGGGAATGATAAATTCCACATCAGCTGTGCCAAAAGATCATAGAATCATAGAATCATTTAGGTTGGAAAAGACCTCTAAGATCATCCAGTCCAACCATTAACCTAACACTACCAAGTCCACCACTAAATCAATTAAGGGTAGCGTAATAATTTCATGTTTCCTGGCTTGGTGGCTGGATTATTTTTTAATGAAAATAAAAACTAGGAATCATTAAGGTTGGAAAGGATCTCTAAGATCATCATTCCAACCATCAACCCAAAATCACCATGCCCACTAAACCATGTCCCAAAGTGTTACATGTCCCAAAAGACGTTGCAGAGCTTCTCCATAAAATGACGTACTGCAATTCCTGAAGTCAGAGTTGTTTGCAAACCAAGTAACTGTTACTAATCCTTTATAAATGGGCAATTACTTCTCTTTTACCTTTAGGGTAAAATCACAGGTCAGTCTAGGTTGATAGGGAGTCACTGTGGTTTGACTCCCCCCACTGAAATACTGTCCAGTGTAGCTGAACTGGGGCAGGGGGTAAAGTAATTGGCATCAATGTGAAGGCAAATGCAGTGCAGAAAAGATAAAAGTTTTATTCTTACTCCCTGAGGGTATAGTGCCTGCACTGCAGTCTGTGCCCCAGCATCAGTCTTCACACAAACCACTCACCCACCTTTAAGTATTTGGACTTTGAGCTCTGCTTGCATGGCTGGGTATGGATAGGGGCAGCAGCTGCCTTTTAGCTTGGTCTGCAACCTACCAACCTAGCAATAAAAATAGAGGCAAGATAACTTGAGTGCTGTTAAATCCACAGACATTCTTCACCCCTTCCCTACAGCTGGGGGCAACTGTGACAACTGCCTGAGAAGGAGTCCCGTGCCGTAGCTGCTCAGGGATCCATGAGATACGGCCACAGCGGTGCCCAGGGAAGGCTGCCAACAGCGAAGGGGGCACCAGGACCCATGGAGGGCTCTGCTGTGGAAATGCTCGTGCACAGGCTGTTCATCTACATATCCTCACCTGAATATTCCCATAGAAGGACCAATTGCCTGGAGTACGGAGGCAATGCAAAGATACTCCCCATCATGAGCTGATCCATGAATTTTCGATCTGCTCCCTAGGCAATAAAACTGAGAACTGGCCTTTACCCAGCATTAGGGCTAAATTTGTTCTGTAGCCTTGAAGGGAATTTCTGAACTATGTTATTTAACAATAATATATGACATTTCTTCTTGTAATTTATTTATTCGAAGAGGTAGATGTGCCTACTGTTTAATCATCAGGGCTGTATGCCATTACTGACCCTTGAAGTCAATGGCATTTTGGCCCAAAGTACAGAGAGCTTGTAGCAAGATGCAGCCTTAAATGCAAGAAAATGCCCCTTAAACCTCAGTCAGCACTCTCTTGGGAGGGTAGAATATGCCTTAGAAATACTGCTACAAGTTGGAAATTATCTTACACTTATCGTCTTTCTAAGTGGTGGAACATTACAAAGTATCCTTTCTGCATCACCACAGTGAATAAGGGTACACAGGTGCTTTTAATAGTAGAGGTTTGGAGTAAATTTAAGTATGCTACAGTTTTGTTAAATGATATTCACACAAGGCATAGCAGAGTGGAGTGAGCCTCCTCCTCTGCTGTCTTTGCCTACATCTTACCACCCAAGGGAGATGGAGTAATAAAGTCCTCATTCTCTAGCACTCCTACCACTCCTCCCTGTTGGAGCTAGTGCCATTTCAGAAGGTATCTCCCATCTCCTCTGACCCCATGTACCCTAAGCCACCTTGCAGTCCTCACACATGTGGCCGGGAAAATGCAGAAATAACTTTCCTTGAGGACTGTGAAGCTGCTCTGTCCTAGTGTGGGCCAATTCCAGCTGAAGAAAGTGGAAAGCTTGTGTATATCAGTGGGTAGAAACGAGCCCTGTATTTTTAGCAAAAAAAATGACACCACTTTAAGAAAGAGACTTTGGGTGCCAAAATATCACAAACAATCATTTCCGTTGAACCAACTGAATGTGACACAGGATTGATTTTCTCATGCAACTGGAAACATTTTCTATAATCCAGATTAACCATTATCCAGAGAAAATAATTTTTTAAAAGCACTGGCAACTTCATGTGCAGCTCAAAGCCTCTAAAATGGAGTTGTAAGAATAATAATCAATATTGTCCAACAGGAAATTAATGTCAACGTTTAAAAAAATAAGCCTTTACTAGGCAACAGGGCTATTTTCTTCTGTTGTAGAAATGTTTTGTAACGGGGCATCACTGGACCGTTACTGTCATTCTCTCACCAAAACAAATCATCCAGGTCTGTGATTAAGCAGACTAGATTTTTTTAAACATTTTGCTTTCTTCCCTTCCTCTTAATAGCTACAAATCAAAGTCTAATTTTGCAATACCTTCTCCCTTAAACACGCAACATGAAATATAATCTGGGATTGTACAGGCCACAGCTCTTGGGCTGGGTGATGACTGGGTGCAATCTGTTGTAGTCCTGCTAGGAAAGAGGAGGTGAGCAGAGACAGGAGAAATGTGAAAGCATGAGAGGGAAAAGAAAAATTCTGGTGATGGCACTTAAGGAAGAAGCAATTTTCCACCCCTTTCTGGGGACTCTTTTCTAAGCAGTATGGGAAGGAGCGCCACTCCAGTTTATGCATTGTGCACATTCACACACCCCTTGCCTTCACACGCTGTAGCTTAAGGCCCCATTTTGAAAGGCGTCCACTAATCTCATGTTCAAATGTCCAGGTGCCATCTGAGCCATTGAAGCAGGCGCTGCTTCTGTGCCCAGGCCAGGTGAACATGGGTGGCTCCAGGGAGCAGGGCTGCAAATGGCCACACTGGACCATGTGGAAATGAGAACAGAAAGAAGCTCCTTTGGTTGTGGCAGTGCTCCCATTGCCACATCTCCCAGACTCATAGATCAGGTATGGGGATACGGGAGTCCAGCACATCTTTTCTCTCTCCTTCCCTACCTCCAGTGCATCTTTAGTTTCTTCTTATGTCAGGGATGAAGGAAGAACCTAGCATAAAAAGTATCTTTAAATACGTCCATTTATGGAGTCCCCCAGGAACAGCAAGCTCGGACAAGCTTTTCTGCACCAGGAATAGATGGCAAAAGGAACTTGCAGACTGATGTGCTTTGCACTGATCTGCTGCCGTGTCACTGCATCTTCCCTCAGATGTTGTTGACATCTGCTGCAGAGGAACCAAGAGCATGTTTTTCAGCAGGTAGTGTAGGCGGAGTCCTGTAGCCAGTAGGCGGATTTAACAGCAAATCCACACAACGGCATTCTATTTTCAGCTAGAATAAATGTTTCTTTTGGTAAAGATTTGTCTATCCCAAGAGGCTTCCTGTCATGCTCCTAAGTTTGAAAAATATACTTGGTTCAAATGTCAGTTTTTACATCCATCAGTCCTATGTCCATTTGATGGTAAAAGAAGCTGCCATTTTTCACATAATCTTTTAAATATCAGATGACAGGCATTCACATTAATTCATTCCATCCCCATTTTTCTTACCTCAGCTTTCATGACTCTGTTCATGCCGAGCATTATACAGACTCTTTCTAGCTGTGCTCAGTTGTCTCACCAGAAATGATTCACTAAACTTTGCACAAATGACAGACTACTTCTCCTCAGTTTCCTGGGAACAAGGGCCTGTCATTTGTATTTGACGGATTTCTTCCCAATATTTTGAAGCAAGCTTGAACTGCTGTGTCCTTTCCTTCCTACTGTTACTAATCTTCCTCTGAACTTAGCCACATTCTGAATATCACATGCATTGCATTATTTTCTACCATATACTTTACCTCTCCTATATCTAAGCTTTTGCAGTTAGCAGTGACGTATTTCTCTTTATTAGTGGGGCACAAGCGTTGGCTGAAGCTGGCCAACAGATTCACCATTGATTTGAGGGTTGGAGTACACAGGGACAGATCACGTTCCCAGACCATACGTCCTTCTTGTTGCCATGTGGCCCTCAGTCTCACAGCACTTTGCGTAGGAAGATCGTATCAGCATCCCTCTCTTACTGCTGGAGAAACTCAAGGCCCAGAGGGCAAAGCAGCTTTCTCACAGCCACCCGGGAGGGCTCAGAGCAGGATCCAGTCCTCTTGCCTTCCACCCGGCTGCTGACTCCAGGAGATGCTGGTGCCTTGGCAATGAGTTGCAATCAAGAAACAAGAAATCTCTTGAGTTAGAATAACTGTATTCTGTATCAAAAAGTACGATGTAAGTAAGGACATGCCTAAATGCTTTTTTGGACCAGAGTCAATCCAACTGAAATTTAATGGCAAAAAAAATGTGGGGTTTTTTAGGGAGAATTTTTTTTTTTTTTAATCTTTAGCTGATAAAAGTGAAAAGGTGTAAAATAAAAGCTTGTGTGGATCTATAATGTCAGTTAATATAAATCTGTTCATCTCCATGAAACTAAAGTAGTTTTTCTGGTATTTTACTTCCTCTGTAAAAATCGGCTGTTGAATGTTAGGGTGATTGATTTAGGACTTTTTGGGTCATCACTGCCGTTCCTCATTAACAGATGTGTTTCTAACGTCTGACAAGAAAGCTCAACCACGCTATTACTCACACAGGTTCTTCGGCTGGCTCTACTATACTTATCTGAATGAGTAATGGTTCCACGATTGACCCTTTCCCTTTGTTGAAGTCTGCAGTAGTAATTAGTTTTTTCTAAGTTATCCCGATACTTTTTTGAAACATGACAGATGACCTAACACTAACAAGTAGGATGTTCCCAGTTTAACTCCTAAAGCCTGGCCCTACAAATGCTTACACACACATAAATGCAGTTCTACATATACACATATATTTAAGCACAGAAATGTGCCTACTAAATTCATAATTTAACAGTGCTTGCAATTTTGAAATTTAAAACTACCAAAGAGCAAAGAGAGACATGCAGTTCTAAGTCACTCACTTAAATTATCTAAATTGAACAACCAAAAAAGGCCCCAATATAAATTAAAAACAGTTGCTTTGTATATATAAACGTGCTGAGGGCATGGATGCTGCAGGGTGCATCAAGAAGTTCCTCATAAGCTTGCCTTCTGTAATTTATTTATTGTCTGACACTGCAAATCCAGAAAACAGACTACACGGGTAACACAGATCTCAAGAGTATCTGTGACAACAGTGCTCATCTGTCAAGTGAGACCTGTCGTCAGTTCTCAGCTGCGCTCCGTAATAGCAAGGACAAGCCTGTTGTTAAGCTCTTCTCTCCACTTGTTTATCTGACTTGACAGCCCTCATTTCTACACCAGGATTCCTCTGTGTAATTAGAGTAGTTATTCTAAATGAAGTAAATAAAACTGAAGAATGTTGCTGTTGCATAACATGAAAATCTTTCCCAGGTCCCTCAGTCTCAACTCCAGTGGCAAATACCAATTACATGAAACAGAAGGCAGCAAGATCTCGGGAGGATGTCTTTAATGTTTCCTTTGATAGGAAAGTAAATTTATGGCTGAATAAAGCTGTTCCTGCACATTTCTACATCAGCAAATGAAAAATGGGCTGAGAAAGGTTTATCTTTTGCTGCTGCTTTTCTGAAACCCAGAAACTGGCAAGAGGCAACAGGACATAGAGGTTCAGACCTTCCACATTTAGAGAAAAACAGGATGGGTAGGGCTGCCATCTGCTATTCAGTGTCAAAGATAAGGGAGAGAAAGAGGAGCTGACAGATACTATCTTCAATGCGGAGAACATCTAGTGAAGGTGGGTACTTTGAAAAGGAAGTCTGGATGGGTTACCAGGTATCCTGCAAAGAGGGGAAATTTGCCTCAGTGGCTCTTTTAAATCTCTCACAGGGCTTGGTAGAAATTTGTGTGGTCACTTCATACAATGACATGGCCTTTGGAAAAAGGTGTACTGGTACGTGACAGGGAAGAGCAGCCTGAAATAACATGACCACCGCTGGGAGACAACTCTCTCAACAGAAACAGAGAAAAGACATTGCTGTTAGAGAAATAACAAGGGCAGGAATCTCTAGAAAAGTAAACAAGACAAGAAGTTGTTTTGTGGAGATGGAAGCTGTCACTAAAGACAATAAACATCTGGTGGTGTTGATTATATGTTAGGAGCCAGATGAATCATGTATGACTAAATCTAGTATAAGGCTAGTAAGACTGAAAATAAGTCCAGGGTTACATATTTGAAAGAGTAGAGTAAGTACTTACACATCTTTAGTAGTCCCTGTGGCACCTAGAATGAAAAAAAGAAAGGACATGTTTACAAGATAATGGCATAATCCTCTAAACCAACCGATAGCACAGTAAACATTTTTCTGTCTTTCTGTCCTAAACAACACAGAAATAGCAACAGGAATTTTCTGTTGTCAGAGAACAGATTTCTCATGATTGTCTAGTTTAGCCTTAATGATTACCCCTTAAGTCTATCATGCTTAGATCTGGGCCAGATTCTCCGTGGGTGAAAATGATGCTACTGCAGACCAGTGCCCAGCTACAATCACTCAGGGTGAGGGCAACATAAGATAAAATTCATCTTTCTGAATTTTATATGCTTCACTTTGGTCAGTCTTCTGGTGGTTTTGTCTGCTACAAAGCTGCCGCAACTAACCAAGCAGTTACTCCTGAATGCCTGTTTATTTTGTGCACGTGCCATTTGATTCAGCTGTAGACTTGGCACTACATGTGTAAAATGCCATTCCATTCTTCCTGCCACATAAACGAAGTTTTATAAAACAACTAGACAGAACTAATACAAACATTGGACCACAATCCATCCAAAGCCCCAGACATCTAAAGAGGTCAGCCACCCCTTAATTCATCTTGCTGTTTAACAAAAAAGAAAAAAGACAAAAGCTACCACTTGGCTGCCTGATCTCAGTGATTGATTTTTTTTTGGTGACTCAGATGCTTCTTGCTGGGAGACAAACATGCACTCAAGTACAAACTCTTTCCTGTTCCTCCCCAGTTATTAATGCTGTATTGCTATCGCTGGTGTATCATTCAGCTGAGTAACCAGCAAATTATCCCTTCCATTAATCACGTGAGCATGGGTAGACATTAGAAAACCTTTCACTTCTCCTTTTCCTCGTAGTACTTAGCTGGAAGAGGTTATCTGAGCTCACTCTGAAGAAACAGCAGTTGTCAATCCAGAAGATTTTATAGGTTTGGAGGTATGCTGGGTTTTTTTCAGCAATGGCACTTCATTTCTTGAAAATCTTTATTTTTGCTGCTGAAAAATATCCGTAAATAACAAATATCTTTCGTCTCACTCTGATGTATAAGAATATGCCTTCCACATCCTTATTTTAAATGCAGAGAGGAAGAAACAGTCCCACGAGTCCTTCCAGCACTGTCTGCCTGAATGGATGGCTTGGATGGCAGGAAACATCTCCCTTTACAGCTAACTCTTGAACATAGTGTCACTCCCAATTCCTGCAACTTGACTATGCCTCCTTTCCCCAGCAATAATGTAGACTAGACTTGTATAAGACTGTACATGTTTCTTTTGTTAGTATTGTTTCCAGAGTCAGCAAAATCTCAGTACAGCTATAGGTATCAGCAGAAAATCTTAATTAAGCTGGAGGGGGTACCTCTATGCACAATAAGCTCAGGTCTTTGCTTTAAAACTTGATTCTACCAAGCAGCTTTCTGAGACTTTTTGGCTCTATAGGCACGTCTACATAGTACTACATATAAACCCTCCAAATTAATTGTGTCCAGGTGGATGGTTGGCACTGCAGCACTGCATGCAAGCTTGATCTCAGCTGATGTAGGGAGATGTTTTCTGCTACCAAGGCCAGTTCATCCAGAGTCAGCTCAGCTGTGTACCTTCAGGGTACCACCTTGCACATCCAGACAGAGCCTAAGCATCAGCAACACCTCAGACAACATATGTTTTGAAAAGCCTAGCTCTATTGCTGTAGCTAGCAGGATTTTTTTTTTCCAGAAGAAACTATTCCTGTGCTTTGCCTGTTCTGCACCAGAACCACAACTTTCTAATTTTCTCAACCTAAGCTCGCTGCAGGCAAACTCATTTTCTCCAAAAAGGTTCACGGTCCTTTGTGAGGCCTTTGCCAAGCCTTTTCTGAGTCTGAGCTGAGGTCTCAGCACTTTGAATCCTCATCTGAAAAACTAATGCCTTCCTTGCAGGAAGTATGCCAAAAGTAAAAAGTGTTTAATATATAAACTGAAGCCTTAGCTGAGTGAGAACTGTGGGCCTACAGTACCGCTACATTTCCCAGTGGACATACTCAAGTTCCAGTCAATCACCAGGCACACTTCAGTGCCGTGCCCCTGTTCAATGCCATACCTGTCTTCAGTGCATTACGGTACACATACTTTTGCACTCTGGGGATGGGAGCTGTCTGTCAGACCCATCAACTCGGGCTTCATGTAGAGGTATACAGCTATGAACCTGTGTTTGAGCATGGAGATGTGCTCCTAGCATTCACACCTGGCAGCACTTGTTTCCTTTGAATATCAGAGAGGGCACCACTGCTGAAAAATCACTGCAGCATTTTGAAATGCACCTCACACAAAAACATTGAGAACTAAGTATGATAAAAACAAATTCACTTTTTAAGATATTACTTTTACTATTTATAATAAATAAACACATGTAATAAATAAACAAACAAACAGTTTGTTTTCTGTTGGTTTTGTAAGCATAAAGAACCAGGTTATCCTCACTTCCACTGATGGGATTCCATTGATTTCAGTGGTGTTATTTCACATTTTCACTAGCAAAAGTGAAACAAGAGTTTGGTCCAAATTCACTTGAGTACCACTAAAGTACCTGAATATAGATCTGCAAGTATTTCCAGTTCACAAAGCTGTTTTCTTCCTGGAAGAGTTCTGAGCTTGCGAATGAACATCACTTCAGTTAGGTGGCCCACAACTATGTAAAAACTCATAAGGTTTTCGTCATTAGGAAGCCTGAACACTCCTTGTACGTAGATTTTATTTCACAAGGAACCCAATAACACATATGTTTGTTTTTAAAGTCCAATCCATTCACCCTCACCCCTGTTACTTCACTGACATATTTCTCCAACTCTTCCATGTTTAGTGAGTGGCACATTATTTTATAGCTACTCAAGTTCCTCCTGCCAGAAGTTCAGCCAAAGGAACTTGTTTACTACCGATTCACAAACAGTGCATAGCTGTGCCACAGCAGCAAGGCGTAGTGTTCTTGTAGCCACAATGTTTTAGAAATATGACTTGAGAAAAGGCTCACATATTTGAAAGCTTGTCCATTTTTTCCCACTATATCAGCTTGGCCTAAAAAAAGGCAGCACTTGACCCTACAAACCTAGTCTCAATAAGCTCATGTTGATTTGGTTTTCCAAAACCTGTCTAACCTCAGCAACAGACTGAGGGGTAGCCAGGAAACTACATCCACAAAAAGTAGGCAGTACTGAGTTGACCTGAATGACCTCTCTGCTTACACCATCTACATAGCAGGACCATGGGTGCATCTTGGCATTTTAGAGCTGCAGGAGGAAGAGGAATATCGCTTGCAGAATAAACGGGGCACATTCAGACACACATCACTGTGAGCCCAAGTAATTACAGAAGAAAAACATTCTGTCTAGAGTAGTGGAGCTGTGATCCCTCAAAAAACCCCATAGCATTTAAACAGTCACAAATGAAGAAGGACAAAAACGTGTCCCAAAGCATATTCCATTCAGTGAGAGGGGTTTTTGCACTTTCAAAGCAACAGTAGCTTGTTACTGGCAACCCTGCAGAATTTAAGTAACTGCAGGACAAATGCAAAAGGTGGTTGAAAGAAATTGATAGCCACAGATGATGTTCCTCTGTGCTGAGAAATGCATCATAAATGAACACAGAAGACAAAAACTTCAGAAGAACATAAAAAGGATGAGAGGCAACCACTTACATGAATAAAAACATGGATACAAAAAAAGCCAGTATCTGAATTTAGAACAGATTATGAAACGTTTTTCCATTAATTGTTAATGAAAATTTTTCTCCAACATTTTATTGCAAATACTTCAAATTGTTACAAAAAGCAAATAAAAACCTCAAAATTACATGTGCATGCAAGCAACAGTTAAGATTACAAATGAGTTTTCAATTGTAGGCTCCCTTCTGATTTGCTCCAAAAGACAGCACTATGGAACCAAATCCTAACATCAATGAATTTATTCTATTTATACCTCAGTGTAACCAAGGATAGAATTATATCAATTTACTTCAAACTGATTACTTCTTCAACTCATCAGGTGGCAGCTTTGTACATAGACTTGACCTGACCAAACATTAATTTTAAAAATTAGTTGGATTTTAAATAGAACAGCAGCATGGTTTCGTGGGCATTCCACCAAACTTGAAGTTAATAAATCTGTTTAAACTTGGTGTGAAAGTTGTCCATCATAATTTGGCTGTATTTGAAGCTTTCCACAGACTAACAGTTTCTCTGTATATTTAAATGAAGGCTAGACTGTCAGCCTCCACTGAGTACCATAATTTAAGGTGCTGACATTGCTGCTACAATTGATACAGAAAGGGGAGGCACTTAAAAATTGTTAGTGAAGCAACACTAGAATGAAGGGAAATACCTTGAATCAGAAGAAAAAGTAATTTAATGTTTAAGGGCATCTTTTAAAAAGACCAAAAAAGAAAAATATTTTGGAGCTTCTAAAACACCAGGAAATAACATGAAAGAAGGATATGTAAGCGAGCTAACAAAACATTAGGAAAATAGCAATTAATAATAAAACGTCCTATGGGTAATGGGAAATTTAAAAAATAAATATAATCCATAGTTAACGCATAAAATAGCCGGGTGATTTAAGAAGGATGTGTATCCATCAGTTTACTCGGATAACAGAAGTTGTCATTTCTCAATGAGAAGCCTTTTGCCAGTGTCTGATGCCCTGGCAGGAAAAATTAAACTCTGTGAGTTCTACTGGTGTTCCGGAGTACTGCACCACAGACAGAAATGTTATTCTAGATCATGTCTATTAGTTTAGATCTCACAGACCATAGGGCTGATAGCTCCTCTGATGTCATTCCAGCCGTGCAACAGAAGATAATATCATTAGCTGAACTATCATTACATATATGTCTGCTTAGGAAAAATCAAGTTAGGCAACAATAGAAATTTTACCAAAGTAAGAAAATGGGGACTAGCATAACACGTCTAATGTATTCTGTGAAGTATGCTACAATATTATCCTTAGTCATATAATATGACAGAGTGTGTTACAG